ACGGTGTGCACGATGCCGAGCGGCCTTGCCGGAGCGGCGTCGTCGAACGGAGGTATTTGGAGAGCACATGCGAACCCCGACAGAACCCAAGCAAGGTTCGTGTTACGGTGGTCCACTATCGACGACCCTGGCGGTGACTTAAGGTAGATCCCAAGCAGGGTTCGTACTCAAAAATCCCGTCCAGACCACTAGGTGTCGGGTGCCGAACCCAATCAAGGTTCTGGCACTGTCCCCAGGTAGGTGTCGTATTTCTTTGCTCCCCAGGTATAACTCAAAAACAAAAAAATTCTTACGTTCGTCCTGAAAAGGACGGATATAACGGCAAAAGTTGTCGTCCTGAAAAGGACGGATGTAACGTCAAAAATTGTCGTCCTAAAAAGGACGGATTGTATGAGAACTCGGGTATTCTCCAGAGAGAGAAAAGATAACTCTACTGCTTCAAAGTATTCCAGTTTATTTCCCTTCAATCCTAGAGGGAATCGTGCACGGACTGGCTGGTTGGTAGGCCGGTTGGCTGGTAGACTGACAGGTCGAGTGCACGCTGGAAGGCGGTGGCTTCGGTTCTCCACGATTCTCGTCCAGAGAGAGCTGCGTCGGGTGTCGTCTTCTGTGTCGGTCCATCAACTGAGAGCGAGTCCGGGAATCGCACAGTATTTATGCGCTCCGTCCGGCCATAAGTTCAGGCATCCCTTCCTACTCGTCAGGAACCATTCGGGGCGCGCTTCGGTTCCCCCTACCGGGGGCGCATGCGTGGTGCGTCGGGAAGACAGTCAGTCGAGCGGAGACCATACCGCAGCGCTAATGTCCAACCTGTTCCATGCACCAATTTCCCGTAAAATACATTCTAAATTAATATTATTTGTTCGCTAATTGCAAAAAGTAAGAAATATTAGGAATATTAATAATGTAAAAGAAATAAAAATACTTTAGTAATATTAACATTATATCTACACATACATACGCATTCGGACATACATAATACTAAAAAGAAAAGAAACAACTCGCGAGTACAAACTAATAATATTGTAAAGATATAAAAATAAGGGAAAGGAGAATAAAGTAATAAGAGACAAATTAAGTAAAGGCCGTTAATAGATATAAAAAAATGAAAGAGAAACTAATGCGAATAAAAAGGGGAAACAAAATATATTAATATATATATATAAAAAAAATTAATAATTTAGGATAAATTTGCTTTCGTTGCATAATTCCGGAGTAGCAAAGTTGTGAAGGGCGTTGTTTCGCTGGCACTATTGTGTCGTCCAGCCCAGGTTCGGCGGCGCTGACATGGGGAAAACCCAGTTTTGTCGGCGTGGGTTTACGACGCCGATTTAGGAAATACCCAAATTTGTTTTGTCGGGCCTAGGTCTGAGACGCCAATTTGGGAAAAACCCAAATTTTGTGACGTATCATCCGTCGTACAACAATACGATGATTTCTGATTCTGAAGCAGTAGAAGAAAAATACGAGAATGATTTGAAAACTTTTGGCGACGAAACCTGCGAGCTAAAAAAATGCGTCATTTCAGAACTACATATTTTAACAGGTTTTGCAAATAATCATTTTTGGAACGGCTTAGTGCTGCTCTTAGGTAGAGAACGATCTTTGCTTGTAGAAATGCTTGTAGAAAACTACTAAAACATCCTGATAAACTTTAAGAATCTGAAATTTGTGGCAAAGTTGGATCTTTAAAATTACTACCCTTCGTTTCATCTTTTAAAGTCATGGACAAAATTGTCAATACTTCTTTCTCTACAAGAAAAGTAAATACCAAATCTTTTAAAAGTACAGGTAGTTATTATTTATTAATAGTATTATTATTTTACTGTTACCATTATTATTTATTATTATTATTATATTTTAATTTTTTTATTTACTTAACAGGAGTTAACGAGACACTAAAAATCTAAATGATGTTAAAGCATCTGTCTCAGTGTCTTATTTTATTGAATAAAAGCGATCTTGGAATATGGTCGGAACAAGCTGGTGAAGCGATTCATAATGTATTTTTAAAAAACTTCTGGAATCGATATAAAATCAATATGGTTGAAGTTAAGAGATATTTGTGTAATCTAAAAAAGGCAGTAGTCTATGCCTCGCCGGCAGAAAAGAAAAAATGGAAAGGGATCTATGTGCTGGTGGAATGAAGAACTGGTCTGTCTCAAGAGAGAATGCCACGCAGCAAGGAGGAATTTTACCCATTTTAAGGGAAACCTCCAGCTGCGGGAAACATGACATAAAGCCAGGCGTACTTTTAAGCAGGCCGTGAAAAGTAGCCAACACCGTTTCTGGAGGGGCCTAATCGGATACTCCGAGAAGGATCCGTGGAGTTTGGCCTTTAAGATTGTCTCTCAGAAATTAGTGACAAGGCATAAAACCCCTGCTTTGGATGATCCGATTTTGGTTCTAGAAATCATAAAGGCACTGTTTCCCTATGTGTAACCTAGCCCCAGAGAGGACTTTACTTACTGCGTAGAGTACGACGAGGAGCTCTTAATGATTGAGAAATTAAAAAAGGTGGCAAAGAGGACAAGAAGAATGGATTCTGCGCGCTTGTTTCCATCGACATACGTAATGCATTTAACTCCGCAAAGTGGGGCAATTGCATCAAAGCGATGCGTCGTAAAGGGGTACCAACCTATCTATTGCAAATGATAGACAACTATCTTAGCGACAAATGGATTGAATACAAGAGCGATGCATGTCATCTCAAACATGAAATGATGTGCGGAGCTCCCCAAGGCTCAAACAGAAGCTTTGCTTGTCACAAGTTAAAGATCCTTTGAGGTCTCGAAGATTCGGATAGGACAGAATGAAAACTTCTGGGGAAATAGTTTGAAATACCTGGGAGTCACGTTGGATCGAAAATAAAAGTTCAACATCATGATTCCCAATGTCGGTAATCCCAGGGAAAAGAAACGCCCATTAGTGGCGACCGTGGTTCAAACAAAGCAGCTCTACGCTGCCCCTGCATGGGCTAAGTCCCTAAAGAACCGCGACATCTCTGACGAGCTACTCTCCGCGCAGGGTGGTTGTGCGCGGAGTGGTTTTAGCCTATAGAACAGCTTCAACGAGCGCTGCTCTGGTTCTTGCGAGCCTCCCGCCATTGGAATTAAGACAGGAGGTCTTTCAGCTCAACAAAGATCGAGCTACCTCGCAAGAACAACAGAGTATGAATCTTGCTAAAGCGGTTATCCGCAAAGAGGCGAGATGTAGACTCGTTGAAAGATGGCAAGAGAGATGGGATGGGGATCTTAAAGGAGGGTGGTCATATCGCCTAATCCCCAACCTCGCCACTTGGCTAGGAAGAAAGCACGGAGAAGTTGGCTACTAGCTAACACAAGTGTTGTCAGGTCACGGATGTTCTCGACAGTACCTTCGTATTTTAAGATTAAGGGTGCGATCCCATATGAGCAGAATACGTCGAACGAAAGCAGAAAATCATGAGAGTGAAAAGAACAACAATATCTACCTATCTCTTTTGCACTCATGATTTTCTGCTTTCGGTCGACGTATTCTGATCACATGGGATCGCACCCTAACAGAGTAACAAAATGCGCCGACTGTGATGCTGTAGTAGATGACGCGGAGCATACTCTCTTTTATTGCGATCACTGGAGCCATGATAGAATGGCCATGTTTACGGTAGTTGGTTTTGAAATCAACGTCGACAACACGGTATCTACCATGGTTCAGAACGTGGACTCGTGGAGACATATTGAATCCTTCATTATTAAAATAATGAAGGGAAAAGATAGAGACGGGAGATGAGGTTGACCGGAGGAGTCCAGTGCTCAGCTGTATGTGAGCATGGGGGGAGGAAGACATTTAGTTTTCCTCCCTCCCACGCTCCCACATAGCTTGAGTGGGTTAATAGCAAGTCAAGGAGCAGGGTAAGGGGAAGAAGAAGAGCGGTCATTTCCACATACCCTGGAATTCATTACCTACTTAAGTAGCACGTAATGTTCTAGTGATATTGACAACATTGAGGCAATATTGGTCATTTTAAGACAGTGTTCTCAATATTGCTGTAATATTACGTGCTACTGGGGCAGGTATCTGAATTTACAGATTTTCTACTTCCGACTAAAATATATATATATATATATATATATATATATATATATATATATATATATATCATGCGAGTGGTTTGACATCGAGGTATAATGATGTGCACTGTCGATTATTGTCCGGTACACACCATTAGAACTCGGCTATCGATAAACCGGTTGTACTCAGAAGAGGTTTTCCACAGTTTCCTTTTCCTGTGCCGAGAAAACCAATTAGAATATTAAAAAATATTCCTCCATATTGGATCTGCCATTTTAAATTTTGAAAAATTAAATTCAGATTTGTAATAAGCAACCCCAAAAACGCCCGAGTATCCAGTTTTAAGCGAATTCATTAAATTTAAACAAACGTTATTTTGTCTTTTAAAGCCCTGAGAAAATATTCCGTTTATCTGCTTAGGAGATGGTATAAGTTATCCTTGGTTCACGTATATTTTCCTTTTTACTGGGAAGATAGGAATTTAATTTAAAACGGGTTTATATGCTATAAATATATATAGAAAGCATGCTACACAATCCAATCTTATCCGCATTTTTGTAAGACATTTTTTTTTGCTTAGAGAATTTTGGGAAATCTGCCTACAGATACCTTGGATTCCGCACTCCAAGGTTATGTGGGGTTGGTATGAAAAATAAATAGAAGAAAATAAAACAAAATAAATAAAATGAAAATTGTTCAATAAGCTGGAGACCTACTGCCAGCCCCGACCCACTAAAACCTTCGAGGGCGGCGCTCCAACTCTGTCGCTATTGCGACTTTGTTCTTTTCCTGCGGTGTAATAATGTTCAAATAGGTGCCATAATAGTATAAGTTATCCGCTAAAACAGAGCCCTTTTTCAATGTAACAAAACTTTTTTATTGTTATTAATACACATACATAATAAATATATGTCAGCAAGTAGAATTAAAAAAAATTTTATTTTCAGATTCGAGTGTTTAAAGAAGAAACTCAAGTAATTGAACACAGTATGGTTGATGCTCCATGTGGAGTTGTAGGTTTTCATTCTGAAAATGGAAATCCTCGTTCTGCCGCAATAGCTGTAGGTGCAGGTGCCAGTGTTTTCATTTTTAAAAATATGAGACCGCATTTTAAATTTTGCTTACCGTATTTAGATGCTTATCCAAAGGAAAGAGAGGTAGGTATATACTCAAATGTATATTTATATATTTACTCTCCCCACTCACGCAGGGTTCGAGACTCCCTAATACATCAACATCTACTTAACCTAGACATACAATTTCCTTACAACTAAACGCACGCAACCCTTTCACTATTTTATACTAATTAACTTAATTATAATAATTTAATTCCTAATTAGCAATCCGCCAGAGCACCGGGTTTCCTTTTCCAGTTCCAAATGCCTTCGCTTCGTCAAAACATAAAAAGAAAAACTAACAATACCCCTCCCACATCCATACCTCTTACACATCTCTCCAACACATGCTTCCATCCTTCTACTTCAGAACCACAAATTTCTACACCTTTTTTCAAATCCGTCTATCCAGTACTTTCACTCTTTCACTTCCTCACCTATTCTAAATCTACATAACCTATTCCATTTGTCATACTTTTTCATTCTCACGAAATACACCATGAAATACATGTATTTCATGGTGTATTTCGTAGAAAATATTTCATTGAAATATTCTTGCAATATTACACATAAAGATTCTGCAATATTGTGAAAATATTTCACAAAATGGAAAAATTTGTTAAACACCTCAAACCAATAGGAATTTTCTGAAATATTTTAAAACCCACAGGATATAGTAAGCCAAAAACTACTGCGCAGCTCTACAGGCCATAGAAACTGAGTTCGACCAGTGCGCATCATTTCAGTTGAATATTTCCAAAATATTTCAATGAAATATTTTCTCAACTTTCGCGTCAATATTCCCACATAAGCGGACATTTTCCTATTTGCAGAAATATTTCTAGAACTTTGCATTGAATATTTCAATCTTTCAGTGAAATATTCAGGAAATATTTAGGAAATATCATGTGCTGTGTGGATCTCTTCTCGTCATCTCTTTCCCAGTAAGAAATGAAAGATCTAATCGACGTCTATTCGACGTCCAAAACATCTATCTATGTGGAATCTAAATCGAGATCTGTATAGACGTCGAAATTGTTGTCTATTAGACGTCTACCGCGCAGAATTCGTCTGTTCATTCGAAAAAGACAAGTGATCTATTCGACATTTTAGATGCTAAGTAGATGTCTAATCGCTGTGTAGAACTTCGAATAGACAACTGCAGTGTAATAATGTTCAAATAGATGCCATAATAGCATAAGTTAATTCTTGTTGGTGAGCACTATCAATAATTGAGAGGTACAATGGACGATTTAAACAATCCATTCGATATCTGGGTAATTGCAAATACGTCTGTTAGGCTGGCAATTAGATTATATTAGATTACTTCCTGCAAAAACTTCATACAGTATTCGTAAATGTTACCACTAAACGCAATATCGTACACTTACTTGCTTCCCAGCAGTGTCAATATACCGAGTACGTCAATATAGCGGAATCAGTACTGATCCAACAATTTTCTTTGTTTTGCTTACTTGAAGAAATTTAGAAAATATTAAATTCTATAAAATGTGTGTAAAATTATACTAAACGTCTAAATGACAAATATAAATATCTTTAAAGTTAAACAACTTTGACATCTATATTTAACATTTCTAAACCGAATCTAGATCTAGATCTCCTCTTAACTTCTTAGACGTCGGTTAGACCTTTTATTTCTCTCTTTGTCATAAGGATGTAGTAACGTTTTTAAAATCGAATCCTGAAATAGGAAGTCTCGTTTCAGAATTCAGAAAACTTATTAAAATTTTATTGACTGTCCCGAGTACTTCATGCACAAACGAGCGTTCATTTTCTTCATTAAGAAGATTAAAAACATATTTAAGATCGACAATGACTTAAAAGAGATTAAATAACATTGCAACGTCGCACATTCATCAGGATATTTTGGAAAATATAGATATTAATAAAATGTTAAATGAATTTATTTCAAGAAACGATTTAAGAAGAAAAACCTTTTATTTGTGTTGAACACATTGAAAAACTTTTTCTTTCTTGTTTTTAAAGTAAATAAAGTATTTAATAATTAATAGTCTAATAATACTAAAAATAAACTATGAACATTATAATATAAATAAATACTTTTTTCACCTACAATCCGCTCCTTCATCCCCCCACCATGGAGAATAAAACTCCATATCTCAAAAATATTGGCTGCGCTGGCCCTGCTTATACACTACCCTGCAAAACTTTGGACTCACTTGAAAAAATTGTTTTTTGTGTATTTATCGCTTTTATTAACGTTCTTAGACCTTTTTTGTTTTGTTTTACTTAAAATTACTATCTGAGCACGTTTTTCTTTTGAAATTTGATTTGTTCTTGCCATTTTTAAGGCTATGACCACAATTTTAAAATAGCAATATTGATAAAAATATTATGAAATGTGCAATTGAATTCTTAATGTCAAATTGTCAAAATTTAAGGTTTTTTATGACTGTCGACGGTAGATGGACTTGAAAGTCATTGGTGCACATACCAAACAGTCGATAAATCGATTAAAATTGATTCGAGTTAGGAAGAAATAGTTAAAGTAATTTAAAGTTATAATTTTAAATATTGTCAATTTTACAACATTTTCAAAATTTCCCATTTTGATAGAATAAATAAATAAGTAGTTAAGAAAATGCTTGGATATGATAAATGAAATGTTTTATAAAAATATATTACATAAAATGGTTTACAATTGATAATAAAATCGATAAATGCGTGAAAAAACTATTTTTCCAAGTGAGTCGGAATTTTTTATTTAGGCATTATTTTTAAAACAATAAAAACAAAATTCTTGATCAAATACATTCAAATAAAGAATAGTTTCTTGATAAGAAGTTTGTTGATGTTTAATAGAAAAGTTGACTACATTTTTCAGTTAATTTATATCTCCCGCTGATTATCGTCTGTGGTTACTTTTTATAAATTGTAAATTAAATTAATTTTGATGACGCAGATATTAATTGGAATTGCTGTAACAATAGTTTGTGACCAGTAAACAATTTTTGTACTAACAATTGTTAGTAAACAGTAGATAAAGTTCGCTCAAAAAATAAAGAAATATAAACCAAACAATTTAAAAATTGATCAGATTTACTTGAAATTTATTACTCGGGGGTTTTCGGGGTCGTAGATTACGAATATCATGTCAGTTTTTAAAGATTCAAAATGGCGGTACCAATATGGCGACCGAATATTTTTAAAATTCACTAGATTCGCGTGAAACTTGTCACTCGGGGGTTTTCGGGTTCGCTGATTACGAATATATCAGTTTTTAAAATTTTGGGTTAAAAGGATCACTATAATTCTAGCTCTGACTTTATTTTTTCTGTATTGCCTTGTTGATAGAATGTATAATATTTTTTAGAATGGTGATACCTTTAATAATAATAATAATAAAAAACAAACCTGAAATTGAACTAAAGTTAAATTATAAAAGATAAAGTGTTATTCCTACGAACATCGTTTATTACATACAAATTTAAACCCCCTCCACAACGTCGTGGAGGGGAGTGCATTCGGTTAAAAAAATTTCTCATACTGAATACTTTATAAATTAAATCAAATATACATTATGACTTTAAATTAATCACAAAAAACTCGGCCATTAAAGGGTTGAAAGAAGGCTTTAATTCTTTATATAATCCACGGTATCATGTTATTACATATTTGGCGATGAGGTAAAAGAAAGTAAAATAAAAACGCATAATAAAGCACAGTGAATAAAAGTATGTGTAGCACAGCAGTAGCACAGAAATTGATTTTTCTTAAAAAAGGAAATAATCAGTTTGATGCTAAAGGAGTGTTTAATAGATCAATTGGGCAATAAGCACTTTCAAACCATTTAAGGCTTCAGGGGGGGACGGTATATATCCGGTTCTTTTGCAAAAGGGATTGGATTGTATTAGAGTACCCCTGTGTAAAATTATGAGAGCCTGTATAGCTCTTGGTTATACACCGGAGTCTTGGAAAAAGACGAGGGTTGTGTTTATTCCGAAGGCCGGTCGGTCAGGCTATACTGCGGCGAAGGACTTCAGGCCAATCAGCCTAACTTCCTTTATATTAAAGACGTTAGAGAAACTGGTGGATAAGTTTATTAGACAGGAATGTCTTAGAGATTTTCCCCTACATCAGGGACAGCATGCATATAGAGCAGGCTTCTTAGTAGAAACAGCCCTCCATTCGGCAGTAGGTAGAATAGAGGGACAAATTAGCAGTGGTGGTTATGCGGTTGGTACTTTTCTTGATATCGAAGGTGCCTTCCCTAACACCTCTAGCAAAACTATCTGCAGGGCAGCCAGGATGCGAGGCGTGCCCGAGCCGCTAGTTAAGTGGATCGACAGCATGCTTCGCGAAAGGGCCCTGGAGGCAGAGTGTGGTGAGGCCAAGGTAACCGGCCTTGTCTCAAAAGGGTGCCCACAGGGAGGAGTTCTCTCTCCTTTATTGTGGTGCTTAGTGGCAGATGAGTTAATTAGAAACCTCAATAGCCAGGGATATTATACGCAAAGTTATGCGGATGATTTCCTTATAATTATAAGAGGGCACTCAATTGAGACCCTCTTACAACTTACGGAACGTGCGCTTAAGATTGTCAAGGATTGGTGCAATCTGACTGGACTTTCTGTAAACCCAGAGAAAACGAATATAGTAGTTTTCACAAGAAAATATAAGGTACCGAGTTTGAAGAAACCGATATTTTATGGAAAAGAGATTTCCTTTTCTGAATCGGCTAAGTATCTGGGAGTAATCCTGGATAAAAAGCTGGTTTGGAGGGAACATTTCGAATATCAGTATAGCAGGTTTTGTACCGCGTTTTGGGCGTGTAGAAGGGCGATAGGGTCATCATGGGGACTAAGGCCTAATATGGTCAACTGGCTCTATCAGATGATCTTAAAACCAAGGTTTCTTCACGCGGTGGTTGTCTGGTGGTCTAGGACTCAACTGATAACGGTTAAAGAGAAACTAGGCCAACTGCAAGCAATGATTTTCAGGGGTATTACGGGGTCAATGAGAACCACGCCAACAGCTGCGTTGGGATTTATGCTTGCCAAGGTACCTCTGCATATTGCCGCGGTGAAAAAGGCGGCTCTTACTATGAGCAGGTTAACTGCGCAGGGAAGGTGGAAGGTTGGTGGTATACACACCAAGCTTCCACGCTCAATTCTATCAATACCAGAATTAAGTATGGTGCAAGATAGAATGATCAAGAGGGTGAAATTTAAACCCTGCTTTAAGATCATTACACCTTCCAGAATGGACTGGAAAAAAGGTTTTCCACTTGGGGACGAAGTCTGGTATACAGACGGCTCCAAGATGAACTGCGGTGCAGGCTTCGGAATTTATCGGAAAACTGGCTGCATTAAAGTGGCTGAGTCATTAGGACAACATGCCACGGTCTGGCAGGCAGAGGTCTGTGCGATTTTAACTTGCGCCCAAATATCCATTTGTAATGGAACAAAGGGCAAGAGGATTAGTATTTGTGTGGATAGTCAGGCGGCCTTGGGGGCTCTGAAAAATCCCACAATAGAATTAAAACTCGTCTGGGAATGCCGCAGCGTACTAGATGAGTTGGGTTCAGCAAATAGACTTTCATTGATTTGGGTACCGGGTCACTCGGGAATCAAGGGTAATGAAAGAGTAGACGTCTTGGCGAAAATCGGTTCCGAGACGAAATTTATAGGTCCTGAACCAGCAGTGGCAATAATGCCATGCTTGGTTAAGGGAGCCATAGAAAGATGGGGTAAAAAGGAACATGAGAAGTATTGGGCGAACGTTGGGGTGGGAAGGCAAGCGAAAACTCTGTTGGGGTTAGCACTTAACAAGAGGCGAGCGATCGATCTCCTAAAACTCGATAAGATCAGAGTTAGAACCGTAGTTCGTCTACTTACGGGTCATGGACTATTGAACTACCATCAGCATAAAATAGGCAGACAAGTTTCACCTATGTGCAGACTGTGTGGGGAAAGTAACGAAACTTCGACTCACATATTATCTGAATGCCCAGCGTTAGCTAGGATCAGGCTATCTAGCTGGGGTCAAGCAATTATTGACCCTAAGCAGGTGAGCAACCTATCGATAGAAGAGATACTGGACTTCTGGAGAAGAACAGGACTCTAAGAAGTTGCTATAAACGAGCGAACTGGAGTCTGGTACAATGGGTTCTATAACCTAGGTGCTTACTTTCCCCTCTTGAGGAAAATCCAGCTCGATCTCGGTGTCAGATTAAATTTTAGATTTTTTTAGTAGAAGTTAAAATAGATGGTAATAATGGAAGTAGATAGTGGAGCGGAACTGTCAGTAATGCCAGAAAAGTTGTATAGAAATAAATTTTCTGACATTCCCGTTAAAAAATGTTCAAAAATATTGTGAAATAACAGTCAAGGTTGAATATAAAAACATTAAGTTACGGCTCTGATTCGAAATCAGCGACACCAAAACCCCCCCAAGTAACAAGTTTTATGCAAATCTGATCAAATTTGAAAATTTTGAAAGTCTATTAATTTTGTTTGTTAGCATTTCTTTATTTATTATGCTTATTGTTTAATGTAAATTTTTAATTAAAAAAAGCCATACGGCAAAAGGAGGTTGTCCGTTTGACACAGAATGACCCATATAAATATATATTTCTTGCAGTAAAATAATGAACATATACTTAGTATTGGTAATTCAATGAAATTGTTTAATTTTTAGATCTGGCATAAAGCGGGATTGGAGGATGAGATCAATGTATTAAATTTAGCGGATGATTTAGAATTGCTTCTAAAAGAAATTGGATCTGGATGCTTGTCTCCTCGTACTTTGAAATTTCTCGCAATGGATAAAAATTTAAGAGCTAGTTTTGCTGAACAGTACCGAGTCATTCCGCTGGTGAGAATGAATGCAGTTACCACAATTAATCTTTCTCGGAAAGATTCTTGGGCTGACTATCATTCAAGTTTTATCCTCATTGGAACAGAATCTGGGGAACTTTACATGTTAGATCCCAGGTACGATTTATATTTATGACTTTTCTGAAAAAAGTGCTAACAAATATTTTTTAAGACAAAAACTTAGCAGATTTTTTTGGTTTGTTTGTTTTCTTTGGTTCTAGTTTTTTTAAATTTGCCTTGAAAATTAACTTTTCTTTATACAGTTTCCAAATCCACAAAAATTAATATTTTTAAAATATCTTAACTACTATAAAGCTAAATATATCACAGATTCATAAAAACTTTGAATTTTTGTTATAAATTATATCGTCTAATTGGAATCTTGCCCATTGATTTACTCTGTAGAAAAACGACTGTCAAGGCTGTCACTCCCCCTTAAATTATATAATAAGGTAGATAAAAATACTTTTGCATTTAGATGTTTTTTGTTTCTATAATTGTATGAAATAATTTTTTTTATTAGGTCATTTTTTATGTCCGAGAAAATTGCAATTGGCTGGCCACCAGTTTCCACAACTTGCACTGGATTATGGAATGGGGACGGTCAAATAATGGTAATTGGACGAGAAGGACAGTTGGGTTCGGTAAAAAAAGGTAGTCCTTTTAAAATGTGGGATAATATGCCGGCTCCAGTTGTATCTATTGCTTCTCTTACTTGCGAAGGGGCAGCTGTCGTTCTAATGGACGGAACCTATTGTGGATTTTCAAAAACTGTACATAAGCATAAGTATATAAAGTTATCACTTTATTTCCTGTCCTGTAACTTTATTTCCTGTAAACTAAACTAAAAAGTTACAATCAGCTACACCCTTTTATTTTTATTACTTTCTTTAAAGTTTATTAAAATTAATTTTAATGTTAAATTATTTTTTTAAATAATTAAATTTAATAGAAAATTGCAATTAATAATAATTATTTTATTCTTACATTTTATTTTTATTGTAATTTTAAAAATGATTGCTATTTAGGGAATAAGGATGTGGCAAACAAATTTGCCAGGAGTGTCGCTAGATCTAGTCAGCTTGCCAGTTCAGCAAAGTGTGGTTTCCTTATTGGCTGTGAGTGTTGCAAAAGTTGGAATAAAAATTTATGACGAGAAGCATCACGTGGATACGATTAAAATGATAGATTCTGTATCCGCAATTAAGGTATTGGACGATTATTTATCTAATTGTTCCATATTTATGTTTACTGTTACATTTTTTTATTTAAGATTTATTTTTTTCAGTTTTTCCTTCATTTCTATATTGTTCAATTTTGCTTTCTTTAGCTCTCAGAGAAATTTTTTATTTTATTATTACATTGCTTGAAACTTGTTTTAAATTTTTAAAATTTAATTTCTTAATTTATATGTTTACAAACACTATTTACTTATAAATATTAAATAGCAACGAATTAATACCAAAAATGTGGTTTATATCCATATTTACCACTGGGCCAGTACTTTACCGTTGCTCAGTTAAAATCCGACCCTGTACAATTTCGCCGGTACGGGCATAAGACAAACTGTACAACCGAGCCGGTATCATGCCGGCCGGTATGATTCGAATTAACTTTCTTACAGCCATAATGTGCTGTCATGATATATTTTCATTATCTTAATAATTACTAGATATTAAATTGTTAGATGAAAATTGAGAAAATAAACTATTAAGGGAAAGTTTCTTTTTGCCAAATATGAATAACTTGAAACCGAACGATTATTTAAACAATCATAAATAACACTTTGCTTTTAATAATTACAGTACGGAAGATTAGGACAGGAAGAGCGAGCAATGTCAATGGTGACTACTGGAGGAGGACTTTGCGTGAAAATTTTAAAACGAACAGCAGATTTTTCTGTTCGTTCATTAACATCTGTAAATGCTAATAGCGACAGCAATTTTGCCGTTCCAAAGAAAACAAGACTTTTTGTGGAACAAACGTTACGAGAAAGAGCAGAGGCATCAAAAATACACAAAATATTCCAACAAGGCTTAATACGATTGAGATTGACGGTTGCAAAAAAGACTTTTGAAGCTTTATCCAATCATCAAGAATCAATGTATAATTCTATCTCGATAGAATCTAGTGTTTTCGGATTGGGACCAAGATATAGAATCCGATCGATTGTTACTAATGTCACTGAGGATGCGTCCGAACCTGAATTGTTCTTTGTATATAAGACAAACAACATTGACTGTAGACCTCGCATTTCGAGAGTTCCTATTTTAGCTCCTGGTGTTCCCATTACTTTTAGTTCAAATGCGACTTTAATTAATCATCAACTTCCCGGAAAAGTAAAACTTCTTTTATGCAAAAAAAATGTTCTTAAACCTTTACAGACTATTAATATTGCGCTTCCAACGTCTGAAGACGATATTGAAGTTTAGAATAATTTATTATTAAGGGGGAGTGACACCTTTGAAGTGCCTTTTAAACCTGTTTTTCATGAATTTTTTTAAGACACAGGAATAAAGTAAACAAAATTTGGTTTCGAGGACTTTATTTATTAACTTTTTAAGTTTACAAAAATATATTTATACTTAAAAAAAGTTTCAATTTGTTGCCTACAGAGGGCGCCGAAGATGGTCTCGTTTCTATGCAGGGTAAATCGGTGGGCAATATTCTGGTTAGACCGTTTAATCAAAAACCAAAATTTAAAGTTTTTCTGAATCTGCGATAGATTTAGCTTTCGAGTACGTAGGATATTTTAAAAATATTAATTTTAGTGTATTTAGCAGCTGTTTGATGAAAAAAGTCGATTTTTAGAGCGAAATTTTTTCAAAATATTTATTGCAAAAAAAAAAACAAACCAAAAAAAAACCGCTACGTACTCGAAAGCATTAGTAAATGACGAACAAAAAAAACTTTGGCCGAAGTCAATCCGATCAAAACTGTTCTGGCTAGACTGCCCACCGTTTTGAAAAATGTCATTTCGAGAAAAACGCATTTAAACTTATGTAATGTGAAAACATGAAAAATGAAACCACTGTTAATCTACGATGTCTGCACCATATAAGTGACTTTCTACATTAATATTTCCTTCATTTACATCCTTTAGAGCAATTTGAAGCTGTCTTCAGTATTCTTGAGCTGCTACGATAAAAGAAAAAAAAATAGCCAATGGCGCTAAAAAGAACTCGAAGCGCTCTTGGACACCTTTTACAGATTTCGATTTTTTTCACATAAAATAACTTCGAAATTACTTCTTATGATATAATTTCTATTCTACACCTCATAAAGTATCGTTTAAGCAAAAAAAAATAAATAAAATCAAATTTTTTTCGGATCAAAGGTGTCACTCCCCCTTAAGAGAAGAGACTAGTGAAAATTCAACTCATCTAAATTCTTGTTGTTTATGGGTGATTTTTTTGACAAAAATCAACGTAGACGTTGATAGACTTAAGAGATTTTTAAAAAAAATTGTTTGTTTTATTTTATTTTTTAATTTATAATGTGTAGTTTTTATAAAGAATATTGATCGTTAAATAAATATTACACAGTATTTTATGATAGTATCTTTAATCTTTATTTTACAAACTTTCGATGTGAACTAACTGGAAAATTATTGATAATTTAAATAAAGAGAGTAGAAGGGGTATTCCATGAGTTCACAATAAGCCGACAATGTAATGAAGTAAATAACAAGTATACAATAATATAATGAAGCAGGTAATAATCTCAAACTGTTATTGCGATCCTTCAGGTCATATAGCGACTATAGAAGATTGTATAATTATAACTGAACATGAATATAGTATTTTAATACAATGTTTATATTTATTGTTGTTTGCAATAAGTTTTCAAATAAACAGTTTAATAATTTTTACATGCGGTTGATTCTAGGTGCTGTTACTTTGGTGGAATTATTCAATGCAACTAATAACCCTCCTAAAAATACACCTTAATAAACTGTATGAACAGATAGGCTTAGGTTTCTAATAGTTTCAATAAGGGATTGCTGTAGGGATTTGTTCTATTTTTTCCTAAAGGTTTTATAATATTTCTTTAAAATGTTTATATGAGGTTTTACAAGGTTGTAACAAATCTTTATTAATTACAGATTATTTAATTAAAGCAAATTAAGACAAGATAAGTTAGTTTTTTAAAAGAAAAGCAAATATGTTCAATTTTAGTGATGTATGAAATTTATTCTGTCAAAAATGAAATAAATCTAGTCTTATCTTTTTACAATTATATGTTTTTTTCTCGCGAGTTGACTTGATATAAAAAAAGAACAATCTTCAATCAATCGGACACTTACACAATCTACATACACGCACAATCAAATATATTTGTAGTAAAATTTGTCAAACAATATTATAATTAAAATGAGTCGAGAATTAACTCATTGCAAAGAGACATTTTTTTATTTATTTGAAGAAAACCAAGCCCAACGGTAAAAACCAATAACAGGGCTACAAAATGTAAACTTAAAAATTACAACTTAATAGCAAATCGTCAACAAATCACGACGCTTGTTTTAAATACTTATGTGTAGCCATTACAAACTCCTTCAAGGATGTACAAAATAAATCTAAATTTTCATCCTTATTTTTAAGAAATAAATCATTCATATATGAACGCATACATAAGATTCGGAACACAGAACCACTGTCAAGCGTACTTACTAGCTGATCGCGCGGGGGGTTCGGGGGGTCTCCCCCCGACGGGATATAGGGGCGGAGCCCCGGTCAGGGGGGGGGGCGAAGCCCCCCGACTACAAAAAAACCAACTTAAAAGAATAATAATAATATTCGACATTTCAAAGAATCGCATTTTATAATACCCCAAGCCACCGGACGCGTCAGGGGGCGAAGCCCCCCGAAACCTAGTCGTGTAATTCGACGTATTAATAAAAATAATATCATTAAAGAATAAAAACAGAATTTTTCACACGAGTGATCACGAAAAGGAGGTTAGAAACTCTCAGTATTTGACAGATACTGTGTTGCTGCTGTAAGACACGGTAAATGTAGTTAACTGAACGAAAACATAATCACGCCTCTTCTGGACGGAATTGCAACTACTCGAGCGTTACAAAAATACTCGAACAAGCACAAACAAAGCTCTTTTTTGAACTGAACTGTCATTCGCAGTATTTTCGTAACTACGTACTAAAAAGAATAACTTTACATTGGCCTACGGAGAGACAAATAACGCCATTTTTATGATTGCGTTATGAAAAGAACTATTTGATACAGTAGCACTTCTATTAATAGAGTTATTTTCAATATCCTGGATCCTTTCTTCTATACTTTCAACACGAGATTCCAAAGCTGTAAATCTAACTGAGAAGTTGTCAACTTTTGTAGACAAGTTTTCAACAGAAGTTCTAACATCCCGGAAATCCTGTTTCATCTCAAGGCTATGTTTATCTAATGAATCATTAAATGAATTCATATTAGTTTTGACAATCTGACCAATCATATTTTTTATTTCATTAAAATTAAAATCAAATGATCTCTTCTCATCAGCAGGGGAAGTTGATCTAGAACCGCAACATTTTGTAAAAGAACCATCAGCATTCTTCTTAAGTTTAAAAGCACATTCTGTATGAAACATTGCTTGACAACCTGTGCATTTCGTAGAGGGACCATCACCAATTGGTTTTTTACATTTCCCATGCGCACATCAAGGACCAAACGTGAATATAATAGATTTTGTGAACTTTTCACAAAATCTATTATTACAATTATACGTTCATACAAACGTTCGTCACTTTTTATATGTGTCGGCGAATATCAATCTCCACATCAACGACAAACTATAGGATCGGACAGGTCCAAGTATTAGAATTTTTTAAGATTCAATTACCTTCGAGTAAATTAAAATTTTTTAAATGTACTATTTTAGAATTTTTGATTTTATTATTTTTTTAGGGGTCGTTCATAAACTACGTCACACTCCTAGGGGTGGGGGGTGTTAAGCTGTGTGTGACGAAGTGTGGAAAAAAATTTTTTTTTGTATGTAAAAAATGTGACGAAGGGGGGGAGGGGGTCAAAATCAGTCCAAAAAAGCGTGACGTAGTTTGTGAACGACCCCTTATAATTTTTAAAAACTCAATTATTTTGAAAAGATTTTATCAAGTTGCAATTATATTTAAAAGATTTTACCAAATTGCAATTATTTTTTAAAAGATTTTACCAAATTTCAGTTTTACGGACATTTTTTAAAATGTAATGTAATTTTAAAAATATTGTCTTTCAAAAATTATTTAGAAATATTTTTGAAAAGTTAATTTTACGAATTAGTTTATTAAAATTTTTAAAAATATTCTACATTAATATCTTTAAAAAGAAAAATAAACGGTTTCAATTATTATAAAAAATTGAATTTTGTATTTAAAATTTTAAATAATTGAATTCTCAAAGAACTTTTGGAAAATTATTAAAAATTAATATAGATAATTGATTCAGAGATAAAGTTTAGGTAAAAATTGTGGAAAATATTAGAATTTTTTTAAGGGTTATATTTTTCATTTCTAGAAATTATTAAATTTCAGAAGTTGAAATTTTTAAAATTTTATTTCTTGTGAAAAAAGAAATAAAAAGTATTTAAATATTTATTTATTAAAATTATTCAAGTTTTGAGTAATTGAATTTAGAAATCATTGAAGAATTAGGGAAATACAAAATAAAATTGTTGTGTCAACACTAAATTAAATAAACGACTTTATTTCTTTTTTTTTCCACTAAAGCGACTTTTTTTGTTCGTTAAAGTGAATCCGAGGGCTGTTTCGCTAGAAATTAAAAATAATCTCTAATGAAAATTTATTTTTACTTATGAAAGTTTATTTTTTTCAATCTCTGCATTTCTCGAAATTAAGTCGCAGAAAAAAATTCATTTAAACTTTTTATTTTTCACATTTTGTAATTTATTATCGATCTTTTCGCATTGTTTTAAATTTGCAAATCTAGACAATTGTCTAAAAATTATTTAGTTTTGTGTTTTTTGGACTAAATTAAAGAAAAAAAGATCTTTTGAAAATGTAGAGAATTTTGACTTAAATATAAATAAATAGAATTTCAGAGAAATTCTTTTTTTCCAGAGAGTCACTGTATTTAAAGAGAAGAGAATTTCGTGTAGAGAAACATCGTTTGCAATTAAGAAGTATAAAATAGTAATGTAAAATTGAGATTATAGTAGCTGCATATTATTTCGCTAGAATTAATAAATAATCTCTAATGAAAATTTATCTTTTTTTATTAAAGTTTAATATTTTCAATGTCAGCGTTTCTCGAAATTAAGTAACAGAAAAAAATCTCTTGAACTGCTTTATTTTTGAGATTTTATAATTTATTATCGATCTCTTCGCCTTGTTCAAATTTTGTCAATTTAGACAAGTCTAGAAATTATTTAGCTTTGTTCTGTTTTGAGACTTAAAATTAAAGAAAAAAAAATTTCTTGAAATTGTAGAGTATTTTGACGTAAATATAAATAAAGGCTTGTTTCTTAAGAATAAGTTCAAGAGAAAGAAAATCTCTTTTAATCGTTTAAGTGTTGTTCACACATTTCAGTTGTTTATTTAAGGAACTTTTTGTGTTATTCTTGTATAGTTAAGAAAATTTTATTTATTCGATTAACTCAAGTTTGCGAATTTTAAACAAATGTCTACAAACTATCGAGCTTGCGAATTTTCGCCTTAAGATTAAAGAGATAAAAAATTTCCTTGAAAATGTAGAGTGTTTTGATGTCAATGTGAATGAAGTTACGAGTTATTACAAGTTTATGATCCGATTTTTGCGTGTTCCTTAAAAATAAGTTCAAAGAGTGAAAATTTTCTTTAAATCGTTTAAGCGTTTATAAAAGTTTGAACAAACGTTCAATGTGTTCACTCTTGAAGTAGTTGCGATTTTTGATTTTTTAAAGTAAGTCATCTTGCAGTGAACTACTACTTTAGTACACAAATTTTTTATGCTACGCAAGATTTCTGTAATAGATTGATACGTGAAATTATTTAAAATGAAGGTCACAGTCGACAATTTATCTGACACTATTTTAGAGTTTATGTTGCTCGAAAAAGATGAAAAGGAACTCAGTGAAATTGATTGCTTAAACTTATATAAAGAACTTAAAAGTCGAAGTCTTGCTGAAGAAGGCAAGTGGTTCCAAGTTTGCAAGTAAAAACTTGCAAACTTTTACTTTTAGTAAAAACTAAAAGGCTATTCGAATCCATCAATAAAACAGCATATTCCGAAGTGTAATAAATTATTTTTAAATCACTTTGAGGAAATAAAAGAAAAAGTTTTAGCTTCAACAAAAACAAATTTCACAAAATTAGCAACTGCATCTGAAGAAAGAATAAATGCATGCGAGGATAATGTAGTTCACGTTGTTGTAGATGTAGATCACGTTGTTGATGATGAATGTGAAAATGATGTTGAAAACCGATTTACTCCTGATTTATTCGAAAGTCGATTAACAGATTCAATAGACGATTGTCTAGAATCATTAAATTCGCCAAAGGAGGAAAGAATTCAAGATACACAAGAGTTGGAAATTATAAGAGAATCTGATCAAAACAAAATGGTAGAAAACCAACAAATTTCAATAGAAGATGATACTACCAGAATATTGAATTCTTGTACTG